TCTATGAAGACTCATCTCATCTATGGCCTCTTGTTACACCAGTGTATTTATTGCCATAATAAGGGCAAACTTGTTGAGCCTAAATACTGAACTAACAGAGAAAGCTTGCCAAAGTATAACATTATTTATGTCTTTATTTATTTATTTATTTATTTATTTATTATTTTGGCCTTCTGCAGGGCGTTGTCCAATTCCATTAAAGAACAGAGATGTTGTGACACTGCGCTCGTGGCAGGTCACAGATGACGAGTACATCATGGTTAACTTCTCAGTCAAACACCCGGTACGCCACCTCCTACATAAACTCAGGATACATAGCAACCATTGCCTCTACACATACTGTTTGTACATGTCTTTGACACCTCTTTGTCCTGTTATGTGTGCACTGATTTATTGTTTTTAAAGCTAGCCTTATCCATTGTCACATTGTGCAGAAGTACCATAAAAATGTATAGTTGTCCTTATTATTCTGCAAATGTTTTCCTTGAATTATAGAAATTCCCTCCTCGCAGCAACCTCGTAAGAGCCGTTTCCATCCAGACGGGGTATTATATCAAGGCCACGGGACCAAATAGTTGCCTTTTTACATATCTTTCACAAGCAGACCCCAAAGGTAAAACTATATGCAACAATTACTTTGTTCCATTCAAACTTAGAGTTCTTGATTCATTTCTGCAGCGTTCTTACGATGAATGTGTGTCTGCTAGGCTCTCTCCCAAAGTGGGTGGTGAACAAAGCATCCCAAGTTCTTGCTCCTAAGGTATGTAATGATTCACAACCACTTCCACAGACCATTTCCTGCTAAACATTTGTTCACCTGTAGTAAACATCAGAGCTGTAAGTGATATGGTTAAATCCATAAGCACAGTATCGGCATCTGTGACAGTCTAGGTGTGTTTTCACGAGGGTTTTTAAACGTGCAAGAGGGGTGTGTGTATGTACATGTGCACACTCATAAGGGAGGGGAAAAGTTTCACGTGTCTTAAGTGACAATGGTAACCATAGAAACAATTTAAGGGCCTGTCCTGACAAGGCTGCTGACAAAGGAGAATCTCAGCTTAAGCTGTCAGTCACCCTCCTGGAAGAACCCAAGTTTCATATTTTCCGTAGATTAAAACTATTTAGACCAAAGTGTATCCACGT